TCATTGTTGTTTGGCGGGTCCGGGCTGGGGATTCGAACCCGCCACCTTAGGTGTACGTGGCTGGCGCCTTAGCCGGCTGAGCTATAGGCGCCGAGCCGACCCCGTAACTCTTATTACAAGCTATGGGAGCTCAGGGTCAGGGCAGTAGGAAGGAAATGCTAGAACTCGCTTTGCCCACCTCTCAGCCCACCTGCTTCTCCAGGCTTTTGGGCCATGACAAATGTTCAGGGGGCTAGAGACCACCTACCTTCTGGAGCCTGCTGGGAGTTTCTGGGCCCTGCAGGGAGGACCAACTTAGCCCGGACTGCGAGTTCTCCATTATTCTGAGGAACGCCATCTTCATGTTTCTCAGCCTGGGGTCCAGAGACAGTGCTCAGAGCAGGATTTCCCAGACCCCTGCTGGGTGCCAGTTGCCTGTCCCTGGACTCCACAAATGCTCTCAGCATGTCCCACGCCCTCCACCCTGACCGTGGGAGGGATGGTCCAGCAGCCCCAGCATGCCAGGGGCAGATGGGCTGCAGAGGCAGGAGGGGCTCGAAGGGTGCTGCATGTCCCCACGCCCGGTCCTAGGAAGTCTGCACGCAGCCTGAGTTTGCAAAAGGCAAACAAACTCAAGTGCTCCTCCATATCCGTTATTGATTTGTCCTCATCAGTAAAGACTCAGTCAACCCTTCCATGCCGAGGACTGCCACAGGTGCCAGAGGCACAAGGGGTGGCAGTCTGCTCCTGCTTTGCCCCTACCCACCAAGGTCACCTCCCTGCCTACTGAGATGGCTTCTCTGGTCATGAGTGATTTTGCCCAAAAGTGAAGGAAGGGCCCAGAGAGGAGACAATCCTAAAACCCAGTCAGTCTTCTACCCAGTGAGGTGGGAAGAGAGTCCTGGGCAGGGCCTGGGTACAGTTGGTACACTGCGGCCCCCACAGTTAGCCCGGCCTGTAGGAAGCAGCTCTCCGGGACCTTGGGTGCCAGATGTGTTAAGGCTGCCCCAAACTCAGCGCTGGAGATGGAGGGACAATCGCCCCCTTGCCTCAGCAGGCTTAGTGTGACAAGCCTTAGTGGCCTATCTCACGCAGGCCCTGTGCTAGGTGCAGGCAACAGAGAAGTCCCAGGCCTGGTCTTCAAGCTGATACCACAGGAGTGAGGCAGGCAGAGCACAAGGAAGATGTGTCCCATGAAGGAGAGAGCCCAGATGGGGAATCAGGAGGGCACCCTAAAGGGGCTGTGCTCCCCAGAGAGGACAGAGGAGCAGAGTGACAAAGGTGCAGGAGCCAGATGCGTGGCTGTGCAGAGATGCCGAAGTTGAAGAGAAGGCACAAACATAGAGGGCCCCCAGTGCTGGTCCTAAGGGGGGGAAGACAGGGCCCCCAGTGCTGGTCCTAAGGGGGAAAGACAGGGCCCCCAGTGCTGGTCCTAAGGGGGGAAGACAGGGCCCCCAGTGCTGGTCCTAAGGGGGGAAGACAGGGCCCCCAGTGCTGGTCCTAAGGGGGGAAGACAGGGCCCCCAGGGCTAGTCCTAAGGGGGAAGACAGGCCCCCCCAGTGCTGGATCCAAGAAGGAAGACCACCTCTGGAATGCTCATAAGGAGAGGCTTCCTGGAGGAGAAGGGAACTAAGTTACATCTTGGGGGACACTGGCAAGGGGAGGTCTGAGCAGAGGTCAGGCCTGGGAAGAGCTCACAAAGGCCATGATGGATGCAGACATGGCCCTTAGAGGCAGGAGGTGGGACAACAGCTCCCAAGTAGGGGCCCTGGGCTTCACTCCATTAGTGGCAGGAAACCAGAATAGTGTCCCAGGAGAGACATTGTGTATCCCAGCCGTGCTTCAGAGAGGAAAGCAGGCACTCTGTGTTCAGGCCGTGGCAGAAACCCGGCACGGTGGGGCCGTGGACAGGGGCCATGGGGCATCCCCCTGTCCTTTGCTCCCTCCCCATCTCTCAGGGACTCCCTCCCTCCCAGTCTTGGATCTTGGTGCCATTCTCCGGGGCTCCTCTGTCCTGCACTGTCCAGGATACACTGACCCTGACTACATCAAACACAGCCGATATCTCTTACAGTTCAAGTCCAGAGCAGGAACGTGGAACCCCACGTCCCAGTCAGGGCTGGGCTCTGCCTTCCTGGGGGCTTTTGGTCCAGCCATTTATCACCTATTACTGTTTTGAGAGTTCTGGCACTGAAAGTCCTCAGTAGACGATGGGGCTGAGAGAAGAGGGGCCTTTGTCAGCCCCCTGTGCAAAGCACCCCCACCTGCCAGGCTGGTCTGGGTGGGCTGAGCTACACAGGTGCCTGAACTTGGGCAGGTCAGAGAAGATGCTCAGCCTTGCCCCACCAAGAAGAGTGTCACACTGAGCCTTTCCTTGCCTACAAAGTTCCTATCTGACAGTCCCAGCCAGCAGGCCAGGTGACATACACTATAGGTCCAAGCCTTGCTAGGTAGGTTTTCTGTCCTGGGATCTCTCTGAAAAGCGAGTTAATTCTCACAGTGGGGGTGAGGGACACCCAGTCCCAAAGCAGACATCACCTTGGCCCTGAGCGGATACCAGTGGAAAGACTGTGTCGCACTGTCTTCGAAGTCCCACGTAGCCAGAGGAATTATCACTTCTCCAAGAAACACTCTCCGGGTGAGCGTGCCCAGGTGCCACACAGAGACCTGCAACCACCGGGTCACCAGCTGGGCAGGATCCACCTGATACTGCAGGGACAGAGCAGGGACAGTCAGCAGCTCTGGTGCCCACCCAGCCTCCCTCTGCAGGCTGAGCTCAGAGCTCAGCGGTAGCCAGGGTCCCAGTTTAGTGGGTGGCTCAGGGTGCATGGAACCAGGGTGGAGGCCTCTCTCTCCTCAAGAACGTCTCACACTCCTGGGGGTGGGGGTGGGGGGCCCTGCAGAGCCACTGACCCCACCTGGGCCTCCCAGGGCCTCCTTTAAAGCCTATTAGGTCTCTTGATAATGACAGCCCTTCCTTTGTACAGGCTTTTCAGATATAGTGATCTTTATCTTTTTCAAGCATACCATGAGGTCAGAGTCACCAAAACTGAAGCTCAGGAATCCAGTGGCCCTTCCTTGTGGGCAGGTGTCATCACAGGCCAGAATCAGACCCCATGCCTGGCCGTGACCCTGGCTGCCATGCTGTGAGGATGGACGTGCACACCCATGGGTAACAGATGAGCAGTTGCCTGCTGGTGTCAGCTCTGTGTGCCCACCTTTGGCCATCTTTCTCAGCCTCCCAGACTTTGTCCACACTTCTGCTGCCCTGGGCTGGCATCCTTCCCTGCTGAGATGACTTGTGGCCACTAGGGTCAAAATTTCTTGGGCCACATCCCCTCTTCTACTGCCTCTGACTAAATTTTAGTCTGTTTTCCCTCAAGTTCGTGGTCTGTCTCCCACCCTGCTCCCCATTTTCCTCCCTTGGTCTGTAAACTCTGACTTGACCTGCTTATTCCCACATTCTGGCTCTGCCCATCAGGGAAGTCTGCTCCCTCCGAGCAGTGAGGGTGGAGCAGAGCCACCCCATGTCCGCTCCAGCTGCTCAGGAAGCCCTGTGTTGGTCCCCCAGATGCTCAGGCCGCCTCTCCCTGGGGTCCACACCACTGCTCGCCACTTTCTGACGAGCAGGACTGAGCCCTGCAGTGGACCAAGTCCACTGCCCGAAACCAGCCCTGCTCTGCACTGCCCTGTGATGTCCCCAAGGCTTGCTCCAGGCTCTGTTTGGTACAAAGTGTAAGGGACACTTGAGAACAGGGACAGGCAATGACCAGTGTCATCCAGACCTGGCATCTTCTTTCATCTCCCCCAGGCCCCTGTGACCGTGGTCTCTAATGGGGTACAAGTCTCCCCGGAGTCCAAATAAGCCTCCCCCAGAAACACTCTGCTCTCAGTCTTTACCTTTCACACAAACCTCCCCTAGCACTGGCACCAAGCATGGGGGGATTTGAAATACTGGTTTCTGTGAGGCTTTTATAACCCCCGGTCGGCTTCCCCATCTTCCCACCTTTCTGTCTCACACTTGTTCCTATCGAGGACAAGGCCAGCTGAGTTGGGATCTTCTGAATTTAGAATAGATCAGAGACATCAATGTTTTCAGATCTATCTGGCAAGTTTCCCAGGATTACAAAATATTCAAAATATACTGGTAAACCCATGGATAAAAATTTTAAGCAATTTCTTTGAGAGTCTGTATGCATTTTAAATAAGGTAGGTAAAAATTTTAAGGTCAGACTAGATAACTAAAAATCCAAAGTATAGACAATCCTCATGTTTATCTCATTTCATAAACTTCTGCTTAGCACAAACTATCTTAGACTTCTGACGACTCATTTCCGATATCGGTGCAAATGTGTGATGGGACAGTTTTTCAAAATCCTTGAAGGCAGGTAGCAGAACTTTGTGACGTGACACTTTCCCACCGCACAGACCTGGCGGGCAGTGCCACAGCCCCTGAGCTTGTGGAGAGGCCCAACCCACCCCTGCTGAATCAGGACCTGCATTTTTATAAAAAAGAATCCCAGGGGAATGCCACACACACACACACACACACACACACACACACACACACACGAACACACACTCTAGGAAGGAGCTGTACTTCTAAGTACTCTCTGCTCAAAGTCCCTGTGGGTAGACAGGATTCTAATACCTCCCTCAGGCTGTATATAAAGCACTTGGCCCCAGCAAGGGCACTGTAAACAATGGCCATTATTATTTAATGAACTCAGGGCTCTGTGCCAGCTGCCCAGATGGCCCCTGGCTGGCAGTTTGCAAATGCCCCTACTTGCCAAGGAAGGCAAACAAAGCCCTCTCCTGTCCCAGGCGTGAGAGCCTGGGGTCTCCGGCTGCCCAGCCATGACTGGGTTGTCTCCACAGGCCTGGGCAGCCCTCCCAGCTTGGGGGCCTGCCGCTGCCAGCCCCAAATCAGAGCACAAGGCCCCATCTCCGACCTCAACCATAAACTATATCTCTTAGCATCAAAGATAGTAAAAACCTAGATAATTCCTTTATGCTTTTTTTTTATATATATATAAAATAAGAAGCAGCCTGAGTTTGTCAGATATGATAATAAAGGAACACTTCTACGAGGATAATAACTCAGTTGATTCATTTTCAGGCTACTCTACTTAAGAATGCCTCTCTGATAGTCATAAAAATTCAACGAGACAAACCAATTTTTTAAATTTCTCCATGCCCTGTTGTTAGCCTGAGACAAAGTGCAGCCCAGTTTTCTCCCCCATTTTCTCAGAAATCATTAATCAAAAGCCATTCTCAAGTCCAGCAGACTCTGCACTTTTCCTGCACAAAGGGCTGAAATTTATTTTCTACCACCTTGCCACTGATTGACAGAGCCATGGAAGAGTGTGTTGGTGTCTGCACTTCCATTTAACTGACTCAAGAGTTTGGAAGAACCATCCCCTGGACTCTGACCCGTGTGCAGCCTGGGGTGGGGAAGACTCAACACGTGCATGTTTGTCCAGCAAATACCTTCAAGGTCTCCTGAAAGTGCGGGTCCACCGTGTTCCTTTGGACTACAGTCTTGCGTTTTCCCTGGGAAGACCTGTCAGGAAGCAGGTAGGTCTTTACGTACCTGGTGGCCAAACACAGACAGGACAGAGTGAGTGTACAGCAGGGGCGTGGGGGCCATGTGAGGAGTTGAGGGGAGAGGACCCCACATATCCCTGCTTCCCTCTGGATCAGGAGTCAATAGCAAGGGTCTAGAGACTGTGCCCAGAAGGAAGCAGCCTCCGAGCCGGTGTGGACAAGCTCCTAGCACACACAATCTTTGGCCATGTGTTGGCTACATGATCCTCAGAATATTCCTAGGGGTGTGACGGTCGTCCTGCCATCCTCATGCCCCACTCCTAGAATCTATTTGCCCTGGTCATTTGCCATTCATTGAAGCCCAGAGATTCTCTAGTCTACCTGGATGTCAAGGATGGTGAGCCAGCTTCCTCCTAACTGCAAAAAAAGACAAACTGCAGGCCGGGCTCGGTGGCTCACACCTGTAATCCTAGCATTCTGGGAGGCCGGGGTGGGTGGATTGTTTGAGCTCAGGAGTTTAAGACCAGCTTGAGCCAGGGTAAAATCCTGTCTACTAAAAATAGAAAAATTAACCAGGCATTGTAGAGGGCACTTATAATCTCAAAACAAAAAAAATTAAAAATAAATAAATAAAATTTAAAAACCCCAAAATGTGGAAAGGAAAAGCATGTACCGTACACTTTGCTTTGTCCTTGTGGGGGCCTCAGAGACCATGCTCCCGACTGCTGAGAAGGGGCCTTCTCGGGCCTCTCTGTTGAGTCTGGCAACCAGACACAGCATGACAGGGGGCAGATGGCTCCGTCTGCACTTGCCCAGAATTCTGAAATCTGAGCTTAGACGAAAACATGTACTATTCTGTCCTGTTCTAGGCTGACCCCTCCACACTGGCCCCAGACTGCTCTTCATGGCTCCCCTGGCAGTCTCTCTGATGACCATGACCCTACCACAACCATTAGCCCTGCCCTTGCTCTACAGGCTAGTAACAGGCTCAACTTTTCCCAAAAAAATTAACAATGGCCCTCTCTCTGTGTGTCTCCCTCCTGGAGTCTCTCTCTCTTTTTTTTTAATGCTTTTATTTATTTTATTTTATTTTTTTGACTGGGGCTGGGTTTGAACCCGCCACCCTCAGCATATGGGGCCAGTGCCCTACTCCCTGAGCCACAGGCACCACCCCCTCCTGGAGCCTCTTCCTCCCTCTCAGTTAAACTTCTTGAAAAAATACTCAAAACTTTCCATCTCCAATTCCTTACTGTTCACTTACTCTTAAATTGTTGATCATTATAGAATCTCATACATGTAAACCAAATATATGCAGCTTGTAGCATCCTAATAAAATACACACTCATGTACCTGCCCCCTGGTTTAGGAAACAGAACATAATAAATTATTTCCCTCTCATAATCCTGCCTTTAACCAGGCAAACACTCTACTGAATTTTGTCTTTTTTTTTTTTTTTTACAGTTTTTGGCGGGGGCTGGGTTTATACTCGCCACCTCCGGCATAGGGGCCCGGCGCCCTACTCCTTTGAGCCACAGGTGCCGCCCCCACTCTACTGAATTTGTATGTATCCCTCCCTTCATTTCCTTTATAGTTTCGCCACTTTGCTGTGTCTCTTCAAACAGTATACTCCTTAGCTTGTCCTAGTTTTGAGCTTCTATATTAATGGGATCATCCCATACACATTCCTCTGTAACTTGTTTTTTTTTCACTGAATATAATGTTTGAAACTCATCTATGTTGTCCTGTGTAGCTACAACTCATTCATTTCTGATCCTGAGTATTCTTTATTCCGTTGTGTGAATACACCACAATTCATTTATCCTCTTGAAGAGCACATGTCTGATGTGCTAGTATTTTTCTACGCTCAGGAGTTTCTCACATGCACTGGAGTTTCTCTCGGCGCATAACCAGGAATGATGGGAGAGGTAGGAGATGTGTATTTTCAACTTCACTACAAAATGCCAAGTTGGTAATTCAATCTCTTTAATGGATATAGGGCCATTCAGGTTTCCTATTTCATCTCACATCGGCTCGGGTGATTTGTGTGTCTTTTCGGAAATGCGTCCATTTCATCTAAATGGTTACGTTCATTGACATACAGTCGTACCTCATATCCCTTATTATTCCTTATTATCTATTAGTTCTATCACGCTGTCTTTTCTTTCATTACTGATAATAGTATTTGCATATTCTCTTTTTTAAAAAACTGGATAAATTTAGCTAAGGAGTTATTGATTTCACAAATCTTTTCAAAGAACCAATATGTGGGTTAATTTATTTATTTTTCCTATTTCATTGATTTTTTCTTAGCTTTACTATTCCATCCTTCAGTATTAATCTGTTCTTTTTCTAACATTTTAAGATGGAGTTTTAAAATAACTTGTTTTAAATGTTTCTTCTTTTAAAATATAAGCACATCCTCAAGTGTTTCCCTCAAATTTTGAAATGTAGCAGTCAGGGGATACTTGAACACAGACTGTTCAGTTTTCCCAGGGCATGTGGTGCATGCAGAGGAACAAAGAAGTTAAGTCAAGAAAGACAGGAGCGACACAGTCACTGCTGCAGGAATTTGTACTTATGTTGTTTGGTATGAAGGAGCGACTAAAGGTTGAGAGAAGAACAGAGTTTGAGTAGATCAACAATGCATTTCTTTCCCATGGTCACACACATAATTATAACAGTATGATCGAAGTTTTCCATGTAGGAGAAAAGGAGGCAAAAATGAGGTCCCTGCCTTAAGCCATACACGCAGAAAATCAATTCCAGTTCTAATATAAAAGGATCCAAGTGTGAAAATACACTAGTAGAGGAAAACAAAGAAGACTATATTTATAACCTTTGCGTGTCACAGGGATTCTTCTACAGACAAAACCCAGAAATTTTAAAGGAAAAGCCTCATAAATTTGACAGTCAATTCCTACAACAAAAGTCATCACAAACAAGTTAGAAAACAAGTAACAGCTGGAAGAAGATATGTACAATATATATAACCAACAAAGATTTTTTTAAGCTTATTTAAAATAGGTCTTGGCTCAGCACGTGTGGCTCAAGTGGCTAAGGCGCCAGCCACATACACCTAAGGTGGCGGGTTCGAATCCAGCCTGGGCCTACCAAAACAACAGTGACGGCTGCAACCAAAAAAAAATAGCCGGGTATTGTGGCGGGCACCTGTGGTCCCAGCTACTTGGGAGGTAGAGGCAGGAGACTTGCTTGAGCCCAGGAGTTGGAGGTTGCTGTGAGCTGTGATGCCACGGCACTCTACCCAGGGGGATAGCTTGAGGCTCTGTCTCAAAAAAAAAAAAAAAATAATAAAATAGGTCTTACAAAAAAATTCTTGGCTGGGCGTAGTAGCTCATGCCCATAATCCCAGTACTTTGGGAGGCTGAGGAGAGAGGATTGAGTGAGCCTGCATGTTTGAGGCTACAGTGAGCTATGCGTACACCACTGCACTCTAGCCTGGGCAACAGAGAGAGACTCTGTCTCTAAAAAACAATTTAAAATAAATAAAAATAAAAACTCTTGTGAATAAATAAGAAAATTGTAACAATACAATAGAAAAATGCGCAGAAGACATGAACAGAAAGTTCACAGAAGGGAAAACAAGTAGCTAACGCATATAGAAAAGTTGTTCACCTCTGTCAGTAATCAGGGAAATGCACGTTAAAAGAACGGTGACATACCCTTTCACGTCATTAGTTGGGAAAAAAAACTTTAATCTGTCTATGGACAGATAATCTGTGGGGCAAGATTTTCATGTTTGTTTATCTTGTATAAAAAGTCAACTTTTCTGCACCATTTATTAAAATCCATCTTTCCTCCAGTGATTTGTAGTAGAACTGAATGTTTATCTCCCCAATTCCTATGTTGATGCCTAACCCACAATGTGGTAATATTAGGAGAGGCGATTAGGTATATGGGTGGAGCCCACATGAACTGATTAGTGCCCTCATAGAGGACGCCTAGAGAGCTACCTTGTCCCTTCCACCACGTGAGGACCCACGTGTTCAAAGACAGACATCTATGAACCAGAAAGAAAGCCCTCAGCAGACACCACATCTACCAGCACCTTGATCTTAGACTTCTCAGCCTCTGGAGCTGTGAGATATAAATTTCTGTTACTGATAAGCCATCCAGTTTCTGCTATTCTCTTACAGCGGCCCAAACAAAGACATTCCTTGATCATACAAGTTTTCATATATGATAAAATCTGTTACTGGACTTTAATTCTGCTCTGTTGACCTACTTGATCTTTGCATCAAGAACACATTGTTTGAATTACCACAGCTTTGTAATAATTCTTGAATTCTTTTCCTTTCTTTCTTTTTTTTTTTTTGAGACAGAGTCTCACTCTGTCGCCCTGGGTAGAGTGCCGTGTCACAGCTCACAGCAACCTCAAATTCTTGGGCTCAAGTGATTCTCCTGCCTCAGCCTTCCAAGTAGCTAGGACTACAGGCGCTGGCCACAACACTTGGCTATTTTTAGAGATGGGGTCTTGCTCTGGCTTAGGCAGGTCTTGAACTCCTGAGCAGAGGGAGCTCCCAGAGTTTCTCGGCCTCCCAGAATGCTAGGATCACAGGCGTGAGCCACCTCACCCGGCCTCCTTTTTCTTTTTTACAACTGTCTTGTTTATTCTTAGACTTTTGCTTTGTCATATAAATTTCAGAATATGTCAAACTTTAAAAAAACAAAACTTACGGATTGCACTTTTTCTTCTTTTCCTCTCCATAGGCAAGGTTCTTACAGGCCTTGATGCATATTTCTAAAGAGTGGGTTTTGAAGCAATAACCAATGGCAAATTCTATTTCTCCAGTGACATTAGCGTTGTCAAAATTGCCCATCTCTGTACAAGTGCTGTTAATGCTAATTAAACTTCCCTAAAATCAAGAACGACAGACACAATGAATTACTTTAATGTTTTTTTGCAGTTCCAGTTTCAAGATATCAAATAAATCACAGAGCATGCATTCTGACACACACTAAGTTAATAACACATCTGCTTGTACTTTGCTGAAGTTAAGTTGCCACATGCCCTGTCCTAAGATGAGGAGTCCTCAGAAGACCCTCTCTTGACCAGATATGGTCTCTGCCTGGCAGGAAAGGTTACACATCTCATTCTTTATCACGAATTGCTTGGGGTGAAATGACCTATTTCCTAACCAATTCTGCAAGATAATGCTCAAGAGGACAGATAAATGTCCATGGCAAAACAGCCATGTGGATGATAGCGTGGTATGAGCTCATATCTGTGATTGGAAATCAGATAAACCTGGATTCATATGTTGCCTCTGCTACTCATTAACTGTGTCAAAGTCTAACTGGAAAATATAATAATACTGATCCCATAGGGTCAGGGTGAGAAACAAATGGAGCGAGGTATGTAAAGTGTGCAAAGGTAACAATACACCACGTTAAATTCTTCTGGGTACCCAAAATAAAAAACAAGACTAACATCACAAATGAGGGTGCATCAAGTATATAAGATGCTGATAAGCACAGAATGCCTGTGCCTAATAGGTAGGATAAACCCCCTTCCCACTAAAAATGTGCCTAGACATTTTCCACCATTTATGCGTGAACAGTCTCAGTGCCAACTGTATAGGAATAGAGGAACAGACTGATTGCTGTTTCTGATTGCCAACTAGCTCCTCCACACTATAAAACATCCTGAAAAGAAGCTAAGAAAACCTGAGCGCAGAAAGCCAGATGCCTTAGAGAGAGAGAGAGACTTAAAACTGTATCTACAACTCATCAGAGGGATTGAAATCTGAATTAACTAATGCCAAGAGCATACCATGCCCAGTCACTGGCTCTGAAGAATGTTGTCTGCCAACATCACTCACCTGGTAAAATGTAAAACAATTTAAAATTTTGGACTACTCCTATGGCTCAAAGGAGTAAGGTGCCAGCCCCATATGCTGGAGGTGACGCGTTCAAACCCAGCCCGGCCAAAAAAAAAAACACAAAAAACTGCAAAATAATTTAAAATTTTTACACACTTGAAAAGGCACAGAATGGTGAGATAGCATAAATGAGTAAGGCGTAAAAATTGAAGATAGGTCAGAATGGGTAGGGACCTTGGCAAGAGGTGTGAGCTGCTCAGAAGAACCAGGTGGATAATGGAGGTGCTAGAAAATTCTGATAATTGAAATGACATTCATCATGGGACTTTGCTTCAGGCTATGAGATTAAATAACAACTTCTCTGCTAGAGTAATTATTAGAATTATGATAGAAAGTTGAATTAAGTAACCAAATAAATTGTGTCAAGACATTGTACAGCTACCAAGACATCCAGGCTAGGAGGATCCAAGAAGCTAAAGAGAAGAGAAGCACATTGAACGACGCCCGACGTTCTGAGATGCTTTTCCCCTTGAGATCTGTCCATAGGGAAGCAACGCAGGGCTGGGAGCCTGAGAGGTCAATAACAAATCAGCTGAGAGACACAGAAGCTGAGAAAAGTGTTTAACAGTCTAATAGGGTTGGGAGACAAAAATTAGCATTCAAGACTGAGAAGCGTCCAGAACTTCAGCTAAATTCCCAGGGGAAAAAGAAATACGCAGAAGTGAGAGGGATGTGAGACGCTGCTTTGCTTTGAAGGTGTCTGTGAATTGGATTCTGTGGCTGAGAGGCCGAGGAGCTTAGGAACGCTTTTAGAAGTTTCAACGTGCTAGAGAGAAAAAAATTAGAGCTCAGGAATACCATAGAGAAGGGGGTTGGCTAATATCTAGACTTTCAGCTGGGATTCCCCCAAAGGCTTTTTTATTAGGAGGAAGGGTCAACTGGAAATGTACCAGTTCTCGAAAATCAAAACCCAGCATTCAATTAGCTCAACTCTATGCTAGCTGCCTGCTGATAGAAAATCACTTCTATCAAGGAAGATCATATCTTTTTGAGTCCTGAGTTTTTCATATATAATATCCAGCATTCAACACAAAATTGCCGTGCATAGCAGGACTAAAAGGACCTGGTTTTCTTGGGACTAGGGAATTTCCTTGGATGCAAGACTTGAAATGCTAAAACCAGGAGAGTCCTAGGTGAACCAGGAAGGTTGGTCGTCCTAAGTCTAGGATCTGGGAATAAGTGACCAAAAGCATAGGGGAAAAAATAGACAATACAAGCAGACCCACAAATGATCCAGGTAATGGCATTACAGGACATGAACTTTAAGAAATCTGTGATTAACATGGTCAAGAAAATATAGGACAAGATGAAGAATTTCTCCAGAGAACTAGAATCTATAGTAAAGAATCAAATAAAAACTAAGGCCTAAAATGTAAGGCCACTGAAATTAAGAATTCTACAAAATAGGCTCAGCGCCTATGGCTCAAGCGGCTAAGGCACCAGCCACATACACCTAAGGTGGTGAGTTCGAATCCAGCCCGGGCCCGCCAAACAACAATGATGGCTGCAACCAAAAAATAGCTGAGTGTTGTGGCGGGCGCCTGTGGTCCCAGCTGCTTGGGAGGCTGAGGCAGGAGACTCGCTTGAGCCCAGGAGTTGGAGGTTGCTGTGAGCTGTGATACCATGGCACTCTACCCAGGGGGACAGCTTGAGGCTCTGTCTCAAAAAAAAAAAAAAAAGACAATAAACAACGAAATAAAGAAGAAAAAAATACAAAACTACACATAGGTACATCACAATAAAGTTACTTAAAAAATTAGACAATTTTTAAAGGCAGAGGAAAAAAGGATCTATTACTTTTGATCAAGAAAACAGTAAGATTTAACCAGCTTCCTGCCCAACAGAAATGACAGAAGACTCGATAGATCTAAAAAGAGCCATGGAAAGAATGGGGTGGAGAGAGTAACAGAGCAGGAGGAAAAGACAGACCACAAACATATAACAGGAGAAACAGAAAGCAAGGAGATAAGACAGAATTAACCCAAAATATGTCAGTAACTACAACAGAACACACGGCATATTATGACTGAACTGAATGCCATTCAGATGAGACACGGCTGGAATATGTATGTACAGAAAGCCGGCAGGGGGAGGAACACGCCTTTGGGGGATGAGGGGTGAAAAGCCAGACTGGGGTGGGTTAGCAGGTGAGCAGGAGCAGAAAACGCGGAAATGCCAAGTGCACACCATTCGGAAAAGGTTAGCTGGGAGAAGGGAGAACAGGAGCTGGAGGGAGCAGAAAGTTGAATGAGAGTGTTTCGTTTCAATTTGTTTTGTTTTATTAAAAGAGACTTAAATGTGCTTAGGGCCAGTGGGAAGGATCTGGGTGGACAGAGGCTGAGTACGAGAGGAGGAGGAATAGGTAACAGAACAGGTGCAGAGATGGCAGGGGACGGGGACATCCAGAGTACCGCTGGGGAATCAGCACCTTCTCCTGCGGGTAGAGAAAGAAGCATCAGTTGGGTGCAACATGCAGGTCAGTTATTGTGGCATCAGGAGGATGAGAAAATCCCACTTTGGTTCTTTTCTTTCCTCTTCTTTTCTTTTCTATCTTAGATACAGCAGGAGAGGAGAATGCTTTGTTGAGAGTGAGGAGGAAGAATGGGTTTGAGAAGAACAGAGGTGGTGTGAATGGTTGTGTGGACAAGCAAAACTGACTTAACCAGATGAGCACGTCCGCACTGCTGGGCAGGCCTGGGTGCACTTGCTGGTGAGACAGCAGGGCAGACCTAATCCCTGGGATGCAAGTGTCAGTGCATGAGGTCAGTCTGCTCCTGATGTGTACACAGCTGTTCAGCTGCAGGTATGAAGAAGGCGCACAGCTGGGCTCATCCAGGTTGGCGCCCAGAATTATAAAGCACCCAGGAAGCAGTATAATTACTCATCCTTCATTTTATAAGTAAATAAACAGAGTTCAAGGTAGGTTGAGACACACCCCAAATTGCACTGCAAATCAGAAGTAGAGCTGGGAGTGGATCTGGGCTCCCAATTCACTGGGCCATAACTCATGGTAGTAACTGCTGTGTCTGCTTAGCAAGGAGGGGCAGGGTCCACCCTGAGGTGACTAAAGGAGTAGAGAGCATGCTCACGGGGAACCCTCTGAGATGACTCATGCACCCCCGCATCGCCCTGACCGGGCTCCTGCATCTGCTCGCCCTAGAGCCAGAACTGAGCCTTTGAGTAGGTACAAACTAAGCCAACCAAAAGGTCCTGGCCCAGAAGAGCAACTAGGAACTCAGCTCCTTGTTAATTACAGCCATTGGCCCTGTTTGGTTTTGAAGGAAAAGTCAATCTGGCCGGAAGCAAAGGAGAACCACCCAAGGCAGGCAAGGCACATCCATGCCAGTGACTTTCTCTGAAGGTCACAAATTTATCTACTGCCACTGCAAGCAGCGCCCCACACCCTTTTATTGTATAAATATGAAAAACTACGAGTCAACTGAAACCACAGCTATTTTAAAGAACAATAAATCCTGATCACCAGGAGCATGACACATGACTGCAGAGTGGCTAAGGCTGTGGGCGGTGGAGCCAGGCAGCTCTCAGCCCCCCAGCCCTCACACTTACGGCCGTGTGGTCTTCAGCAAGCTTCTTACCTTCTCTACCCTCAGTTTCCTCATCTGTCAAGTGGGAATCTATTTTGTAGAGTCAGGATGAGGCTCAGTTAGCTCATGCACATAAAGAGACTTAGAACTGTGCCTAGGCCTGGTAAGCATTGTGTTTCTCACCCTTCTGAAAATGCCACAAAATGTGGCTGCCCTTTGTAAGCCATGCAAATCATTTCCTTTGTTTTTCCCTTCTTTCTTTTTCCCCCCTTTTGCTAGGAAATGTATAATATATAAAAGAGTACAGAGTACACATAATGTGTAGGTATAAAAAATAATTACAAAATTGATATTCAGGTGGCCACCCCTCAGCGTAGGAAAATATCACTCTCATTCCTGTCCCAAGTAGACACTGTTTCAAAACTGTTT